GGTCCGCGGAACTTTGTTCCGGTCGCGTTTGCACGGTAACCAAGGGTTCCAAGGCGAGGCCAGACGACCATCTGCACGACGCGGCAACCTCCTTCCGTCTTCTCTCTCGCTCCGGCCTCCTCCCGACTGCTTTTGTCTTCCTCCGTCGCTGAGTTCCTATACGTATATCGCAGCATCCACCCCGGGCCCCCCGCCGGTTCCCTTTGTCGCCGGTGGTTCTCTCGTAGCTTCGGGGAAAATATTAGCCGCGGGCTTCGCAGCATTAAAGGGGAACGGTTAAATTAATAATTCGCAAATTGCCAAGAGAAATGCCGCTCGTACCTCACCGCCACCCGTTCTCCCCCATCCCTGGCTGCAGTTTGCGGTGTTTCCTTGCGAGGGTGGAGCCCGTCGGCACGGAGGCCACTTCTGTCGCGACCTTAGACCGCCATTTTCGACGAGCACCGTCGATTAAACGGCCAATTAGTCTCGCGAGTCCGCGGACGGAAATCCACGGTTAACAATCCTTCCAGCCATCGGCTCCGTTTTCTTTTGTAATTGACTCGAGGGCTCCTCTTCGACCACGTCTTCTTCTTCTTCTTCTTCTTCTTCTTCTTCTTCTTCCTCACTGTCTCGCATTTGAGATTCGGTTAACCCGGAGTCATCAATTACCTCACGGACACCGCTGACGATCGTTTCGTTGCCCGCGAGATCAATTATGCTCGTTATCGCGATCGGCGACCCGATTTCTCTTTCGTCGAGGTCGATTATAGTTGCACGTTGGTAATCAACGGGTTTCTCGTTTCCTCCGATAAATTCTCCGATATCGTAAAAGTTTCAAAAAGAAAGACCGCCCGTCTATTTCGCCTAGCGCCAATAATAATACTAATCGTCGAACTGGTTGTCCCCTCTTTCTCTTTGTCGAGGCGCCCCGTGTGTGCCGAGCGAGACCGACTGCCGGGATAATTTTACTTGCCAGTAATCACCGGCCAGCGATACTTATTATTCGCAACGCAAACAACGTCATTATCGTCTTCCGGAATACGACTTTCCAAAATTTTATTCGTCCATTTGCCGCGGCAACTCGTACCACGGTTGCACACCGTAGTTCCATTAAGATTGTACGAGCATTACATAAAAACAATGACAAAGCATTGAAATTTTAACAGTTACTAGATATTACA